CAACAGCCTGGCTTCTGAGAACAGGCCACACCCATGATGGCAAAGATTCTTCTCTGCCTCAGTTTTCTTGTTTGTACAATGGGTGTGGTCACAAGGCTATCGTAGCACTTTAATGAGCTATGCTCATTAGAAACCCTCTGAGATCTCTGGAGAAAGTGCCTGTGGTGGAGAAGCCAGTGTGTGTGCTGCTCAGTGTTTGTGGCAGCCCAGAGTGCAACCCCTGGTATAAAGAATCCACAAGAGGGAGAAGTAGAAGAACCACTTAGGCACAGCTCAGAGCCCAGACAGAGACCCAAGCGCGTCAGGAGGCAGTTGTTATTCCCCGCAATCCCTCCTACCAATCTCCGTTCTCTTCTTGACCAATATCCATGGAGCATCCAGCATGGGAGCCACAGTTGTGACTAAAATTGAAATGACCGACCCCTGTTTTCATGGAACTCAAGTGGAAAGACATGCTCATCAAACAATTCCTCAAATGAACAGAAGAGTGTGTCAGTGCTGAGAAGGAGATGGAGGTTACAATGCTGTTGGTGCCTGTAATGAATCAGAGGCTTCCTGGGGTTAAATGTGGCTATTGAGATTTGAAGGAACAGTGGGTATTTCCTGGTTGAAAAGGAAAGAGAGCAGATGGAAAACAACATGTGCGAGGGCCCTGTGCATGTCCAAAGTCCAGCGTTGCTGGAGCAGAGAGTGCCAGGGTTAGAATAAAGGGAGGTAAGGCTGACGTGTCAACAGGGGCTACTTGGTTGCAAGGCCTTCTATGCAGGCTAAAGATTTTTGTCTTTAAGTAAGTGCAAGGGGAAGCAAATGAAATATTTAAGCAAGAAAGTACAGTAAGAATGTGATCGTTTTTGCATTTTGAATTGATCATTCTTGATTGCCTTAGAGAGAGTAGATTTGGGGGGAAGGTACAGAGTAGAAGTGGGAGACCAGTTAGGAGGTGGTTTAGCTGTAGCCTGGGCCCTGTGGTGGGAGGGCCCTGTTTGCAACAGCTGGGACCTAATCTTGATCTGGGAGCTAGTGTGGGCAGCTGGGTACATTCGTTACATTTATCTTTTGCCCTTAAGCTGCTGCTCTCACCTGGAAGTGATCTCAGGGCAAGGGGAGCCCTGAAAGGCACGGCCTGTTCCCTTTGCTGGTGGGGAGAGGAGCCTTCTTGGTGGGGGGCTTCTGGCCCTGCCTCTCCCAGCTTGAACTGGAGGGCCTCTCTTTGCCTTGTTTATCTAAGAGTGTGGCTATAGGAACTGCTTGGGAAGAGTAAAGATTATTCATTTTGACCAAGTAGGGCCATGGATAATTTATTTAGAGAGATAAAAATAAAGTGGTCACCTGTTGGTAGGTGCTATAATAGCTAAAAAGGCTTTTGTTGCTGCTTTACACTTAGGTGAGCTCAGACGACTTGAGCACAGCTTTTGGTGAAATGTTCTTTACCCTCCAAACACTGGAAAGAGCAAGGTCTTGAGGACTTGAACTATCTGTCCTTGTCTGTAATAACTGGTTAAACCAGTCAGCCCTGAGCTCAGGCCTCAGTTGGCTCTTTGTCAACTCAAGGGGTGTTGTAAGAAATCAGAACTAGAGTCGTTGACTTTGAATCAACCTCAGCCAAAAATGTTGAGAAAATGCAAGTTGTCCCTGAGGTAGCCTGGGAGTAGTCATTGATTTGGTGGCCAAAGTTTAAGTCATGGGAGAATATCCCCCGGAAACTTCTAAAGCAGGAGTTGGCAAACATTTTTTTACAGAGGACCAGATAATAAATAGTTTAGCCTATGCAAGCCAAGAGGCAAAATGGAGGATTTTATGTAGATATTTATAATCATTTAAATTGTAACTATTTAAAATTATAAAATCCATTCTTAGCTCACAGACTATACAAGAACAGGCAGTGGGTCAGGTTTGACCTGTGGACAGTGCTTGTGGCCTGCTGACCCCTGTTTTAAAGGCTGGTTAAAGACACTAATTCTCAACCCAAACACCTGCTCTCAGCTGTTTGGCTTCACAGAGATGGGCACTATCAAGAGGGCCTTAATCGGGGAGGGAACAGAGGGAGGCAGGAAGGAAAGGCAGCGCTAGTTTTGGCCACAGCTTTAGGACAGAGATAGGGCAAAAGAGAGGTCAGAGCACCCTGAGTGGGCGGCAACTCCCTTCCTACCCATATGGGCCTGAATGTGATTTGTTTTAGTGGTCAAGCCAGGTCTGTTGGGGAGATGTCACCATGATGGTTAACCCCACAGCCACAGCCTGCCCAGGTCAGTTCACTGTTGGCCTCTACTGTTCACCTTTACTGCAAAAAATACCCAGTTTGCCAGGGATTTCTGTCCCCTAAAGACATCAGGCCAGCCTTCAAGACATTTCTCTGCCTCCATTTGTCTGTGTGACCATGAGCAAGTTACTTAACCTCTCTGAGCCTCAGTTTTCTGATGTATAAAATGAAGATAGCAGCTGTCTGTGAGGGGTTCTGTGAGGATAAAGGGAAGGATGTGTGTGAAACACACTTGACAACTGTTAGCTGTGTTCAGTGTCTTTTTCTCTTGGCACTCCCTCTTTTCCCTGTCACTGCTCACTGTTGATTTGGTTTGTTCTGTTCTTCCTCTGGTAAGGCTGGAAAAGAGAAGCAAGAGGGCACAGAAGAAAGCCCCCGATCAGTGGGCAGACAGGAGAAAGAAACAGAGTCCTCTGATCCAGAATATACAAAGACACAAAAGGTAAAGTTGTCCCAGACACTGTCAGTGTAGCCACATCTGTACTATCAGGGACTGAGCCAGAGGAATTCCCATCCTGCCCAGCAATGTCTTGCTGAATGGAATATGTCCAAGACCCCCCTGATGGTTCCATGAATGAACCAGTCCTCCCAGTACTTTTTGGTGAAATGGCTTTGCCTGGGATCTTTCCACAGTCTTTATTGAGAAGAGCTTTACCCACATGCCTGGGCTGTGCCTCACTCTCCAGCAACTTGGCTGTGCTCCTACGAGAAGACATGTGCCCAAAAAAAGACTCAGGCTTCAGAGCCAGGCTCCCAAAATAGGCAGGTCCTTTAGGGGGCGGGAGAACACTACATCGGGTACTCGAGCTGGGGCCCTGACCTTGGCAGGCCCAAACCCGTGGATTAACAAGACATCCACTATGCTTGTAAAGGTTATTTTACTTAATTAAAATGAAAAAACCTAGTTACAATCCTCCTGGGCTGGGGCTGTCACAGCACAGCAAAAAGAAATGTCCTTGGAACGTGACCAGCTTTGTGCCTTTCTGCTCAGGAGAGGTGGGAGAGATGAGTGTTGCCGGCAGGGAAGCTGATCTCCTAAATCTGTCTCCTGGGTCTGTGGGCTGCTGGGGACACTGAGGGGAAAGTTTTAGGAGGGGCCAAGTATGAGCCAGGGCTATGGAAGTTGCACCTGTACCGGGAGATGGTGCTTGGGGGAATTTTGTGAGGGACTTTGCCACAGTTACATTTAGTGATGCCCCACATGAAAAGACATAGCTCCAGTAAGCATTTACAGTGTATAACTTAATCCTTCATTCATTCAAAAACTGTTTACTGAGCACCTGTTATGTGCCAGGGGTTGAAATTCTTTGTGTCTCTTTAAACATGGTGGATTCCACATTGGGTTTATTCCAAATCTGGTGCCGTTTTGAATGTCATCGTAAGGATGAGTCAGTGATGTAGGACTTGAGTGGCTCACAGCTCCTAGTTACCCAGTGATTGTTTCTAGGTAGAAGTAAGAATGCTCAGGATCTTTCTGGTCTGAGGGGTCCTTATGGTCAAGGTTGTGCCTTCTGATTGAATGCTCTCAGCCACTCTGACCTCCATTCTGCACTTTTGTTCAGGAGCAGGACTGGGAGAGCGGCAGTGAGGCAGAGGGGGAGAGCTGGTATCCCACCAACATGGAGGAGCTGGTCACAGTGGACGAGGTGGGGGAAGAGGAAGATTTTATTATGGAACCGGACATCCCAGAGTTGGAAGAAATTGTGCCCATTGACCAGAAAGACAAAATCTGCCCAGAAATGTGTTCCTGTGTGACAACCTCCTTAGACCTGGACTTGACCAAGGATTTCACCAAGCAGGGAGTCAAGACCATAGGGAATAGGGCTGCAGAAATCAGCCTCAAGCCACCCAGAGAACTGCCTTCTGCTTCCACAAGCTGTCCCAGTGACATGGACGAGGAAATGCCTGGCCTAAATCTGGGTGCTGAGTGGAAGCCAGCTGAATGTGAGACAGGCCTCTCACTGGAGGATTCAGATTGCTACGAGAAGGAGGCAAAGGGAGCGGAGAGCTCAGATGTTCATCTGGCCCCTGCAGTCCAGCAAATGTCTTCCCCCAAGCCAGTGGAGGAGAGGGCCCGGCAGCCTAGCCCATTTCTCGATGACTGCAAGGCCAGGGGGACCCCTGAGGATGGGACTTGGGAAGGCAGACCCCTGGAGGAGAAAGCCAGCCCCCCCACAGCGGAGAGCTCAGATGTTCATCTGGCCCCTGCAGTCCAGCAAATGTCTTCCCCCAAGCCAGCGGAGGAGAGGGCCCGGCAGCCTAGCCCATTTCTCGATGACTGCAAGGCTAGGGGGACCCCTGAGGATGGGACTTGGGAAGGCAGACCCCTGGAGGAGAAAGCCAGCCCCCCCAACGAAGCCGACCTCCAAAGCCAGGCTTGCCAAGGAGTGTTGACCCAGGGTAACTACCTCCCCTTTCCTCATGGGTGGTTGGGTTGATTGGACCACTGCTCACCTAAAGAAGTATGGCATGGGCAGGCTGGATGGAGCATAAGGTTTCGACTAACATTAAAGCTTATGCACAAAGTAATTGAGTAGCAGAGGCAAGCCTCTAGAAGCCTGGTTAATAAAGAAGTATGGCATGGGCAGGCTGGATGGAGCATAAGGTTTCGACTAACATTAAAGCTTACGCACAAAGTAATTGAGTAGCAGAGGCAAGCCTCTAGAAGCCTGGTTAGAGTGTTAGAGCTTTTAGGCAAATGGTGTAAAGGAAGTCAGGTAGGAGGCTGTGTGTTTTCTGGGAGGCAAACTCAGATAGGATAGACTTCTCTGCATTTATGGGAGCCCAGCTAGACTTAGACAACTAAAATTAGCTTATCAGCAAAAGGAACTTGGCTTGCCTGGGATCAACAAGCTGCCTCTCATGCCTGCATGCAGTGGACCACCCAGACTGTTATTTCGGTGAAGGGGCTGGGAGTGTGGGAGGCAAGAAGGGAGTGGATGGGGAAGGAACAGGGGTTCACTAAAGGCGACAGTTTGCTCCCCTTCTTACTACCTCAGACCCACTTTCCTCCAGGGTCTAATGGCGATGCAAGACTTGTCCCAGGACATCCTCCGCCTCCATTGGAGTGATGTTATGTCTGTGCCTGACACTGTGACATCATGAAAGAGAGAGAGTTTAAAATAGGCTAAGCCCTGTCTTCTCTGCCAAGTGGAAACTAAGATCCACCAGGGGCTGGCGGGGAGGGAGGGAGAGTAGCCCTTAAGAGTCTCACTGTGAAAACAACTAGAGATTCTTTAACCGAAAGCCTGCAGCATACCAGAGGTTGAAGTAAGAGTCAGTAAGGACAGAAAATAGAGACAAAAGGCTTTAAAAGAAACATTTCAACCCAGAGGCTTGTGGGGGACACAAGCTGGTAGGTGACCCTGGAGGCTTGGGCTTTCCACCATGTCAAGCTGACCTGAGCTGTTTCTTACCTGCATGGATCTGAGTCTCCATGGAAACTCAGCCATGAACTGCCTCCTTGTTGCTAGAGAAACGCTGAGGCCTGGATTCTGTCTAGAGGAGGCAAGAATAAAGGAGTGAAATTCTCTCCTCCCTCTGTTGAACCCCTTTTATTTTGCGGAATAGGTCTCAACGTGTGCCGGTGTTAATGGCTTATTAGTTTGCCCAGCGTTTGGAGTTCATATTTAATCACACTGCTTGACAAGTTCGGGGTGAGAATGGCTTTGCCTTTTTTACCAGCCATGGTCGATGTCAGCCCAATTTTTGCCCTTCAATAATTCCTCTGCCTGTGGAGATAAAAATGATAGGAGCTGGGGGGCTTAGCAGATGGATCATGCCAGCTGAAGATATCAGCAGCCCATCCCCTGGGCCAAATGCAAAGATTTGCCAAGTTTTCTTGTGTGTGGCATTCTTTTGGCAGTGGAGAAAGCTCTTAATTACAGCTCTTTGGTCTTAATTAGCAGTCATCGCCCCAGCCTCATGTGATTAAGCAGTCTAAGGGACAATTCCTAATCCCAGTGCAGGGAATAGAACTGCAGGGACTCTTTGAGGCCTGCTGTGTTTCATTAGTTCTTTGCCTTGGCTCATGTTTTGCAGAAAACTCCAGGTACATGGAAATGAAATCTCTGGATGTGAGCTCACCAGAATGCCCTGAAGTGGAGCTGAAACAGCCCCTTTCTTTGCCTTCCTGGGAATCAGAGGATGTGTTCAGTGAACTTAGCATTCCTCTAGGTAGGTGAAATACACCACCCTTCCTGAAATTCAGCTCCAGGAAATGACAGTTCTGCAGCAACATCTGAGAGCTTGAGAGGGCTTTTTGTCATTTTGTTGTTGTCATCGTTTTTAATGCATGATGCAATAACCTAGATTTGCAAGGTGCTACTTTAAAGTTTCTTGCAATGTCAGTCTCCCATAGCAGACCAGATGCTCCATGGGACCAGGTCTTGAACGACACTGTCCTGTGACCCAGAGCTCAGAGAGGCCTGTTTTCCCTGTCAGAGAATGCTTTTTTCTTGATGACACAGAGCCTTTAAGTCCAGCCCTTATTTAAGCAAAGAAGCAGAGGTCCAATGGATCTCCTCAAAATGAACAGAAATGAACCTCTTCTTGCTATTGTCTTCCTTCCTCTCCTGACCACAGTCCTTTCCAGAAAAACACAACATTTTTCCTCTTTGAGGGACTAGCTTCTCTGAGGCAATGACGCTGAATAGACTGTGTTCAGCGTGGACCCTAGATAGTTGACAGAGGAAGCATTGTACAGAGAGAGACCTTGGAATCTAATTGACACAAGAAAAAATTAAGAATAAATTCTCTACCTTATAATTTGTGTCTTTTCATTATTGTTTTTCATTCCAGAAAGTGTGCACGATTATTACAACAAATTCAAAAAATAAGAACCATATAAAGTCAGTGTTAAAGGGTTTCTCTCTTCCCTCCGGTCTCTCCCTAGCCTCCAGAGGCAGTCACGGTCATGTCCACAGCTAGTTTTTCTCCCTCTCAAAATAGGATCACACTACACACATAATGTTCTGCAACTGGCTTTTTTCACTTTCCAGCAGGTCTTAGAGACCACTTCACGTTAGTACACAGAGAATGCATTCTTTATAAACACTGCAAATATCCCATCCCAAAAGCTATACCATAAATTACTTATTCTTTCCTCTACTTGGGAACATTTAGATTGTTTTCTATTTTTTTTTTTTCTTTTCGTTTTGAAAACACTGTAATAGCTAGCTTTTATTGTTATGCTTCACCATGCAGGCACCATTCCCGTGCTTTCTATGTATTATCTCATTTGACCCTCTCAAAAAGCCTGTGAGGTAGGTGATATTTGTATCCCTATTTTGCAGATAAGAAAACTGAGATGCAGAGTCACAATGATTGGCAAAGACCGAAGTCAGGGTTCAAATCCCGATAGTCTGACTGTAGGACCATGTTCTTACCCTCTATCTTCTGCTGCCTTCCAAATGTGCTTGTTCAGTTGCCTTTGTTGCGTGCCAGTGTTTCTGTGGGACAGCATCCTAGTCAGGGGGTTTCAGGGTCCTACGTATTTGCATTTAGAATTTTCATAATTGCTGCTAAATTGCACTCCAAAAAGATGATACCAGCTTTTGCTGCTACCTTGAGTGAGAGTTCCCTTTCTCCACCTCCTTGCCAACATTGGATATTATCAGTTTTTAATTTTTATCAACCTGTTAGGAGAAAAATTCTCTCATTTTGTTTTCTTAAACAGCTAGATTGAAGTATAATTGATGTACAATGTAGTGCACGTATTTAAAATGTACAGTTTGATCGGTTTTGACAAATGTATATACCTGTAAGACCATCACCCAATCATGATAGTAAACATGTTAAACCTCCCAATTTCCTCACACTCCAGCTAATCCCTAATCTGCTTTCTGTCAGTAAATGTTAGTTTGCATTTTCTAGAGTTTTATGTAAAGGGAATCATATAATATGTACTGGTTTTGCCTGGCTTCTTTCACTGAGCATAATTGAGATTCATTTATAGCGTTGAGTGTATCGGTAGTTCATTTCTTTTTATTGTTGAGGAGTATTGCATTGTAGATATAGATGTACCACATTCTGTTTATTCATTCACCTGTTGATGGACATTTGGGTCATTTTCAGTTTGGGGCCGCTTTTGGTTTGGGGCTATTTGAAGACTGCAAACAGATTGTAGTTACAGTCTTCGGTTAGCTTTGAGACCCATTATCTCATTGATCCCTCGGAGGGGGGTCTGGTACTATTTTCCGAGTTTGCCCGGTGAGGAAACTGAAGTTCAGAGACATACTGAACATCACACAGCAAGTTCAGGTTAGAACTCAGAATTTCCGATCTCAGACCACTCTGTCCTCCTGTTCTTCTTCTAGTTCAGACAGCAGCACAGTGTAGGAAAGGCAATTTTTGCACAGAAGCCGAAAGCACAGAGTGTGGAATCTGATTCTCTGGGTTCAAATCCCATCTCTCCTACTTATTGACTGGGTGACAAAGAGCAACTTATTTAACCTCTTTGCTTGGATTTCTTCATCTGTAAATCAGGAATACTGATAAAAGTCCATCAAGTAGAGGTATTTCGAGGATTAAATGAATGCTTATAAGGTCTTAATGCCTTCCAGTAGGAGGTACTGAATAAGGGTTGTCTATTGTTATTATTCACTCACAAAATCTTTATTAAAACCTACTATGCTTCCTCTCACTGGGGCTGCATAACCCTTCACCCTCCAGGATTTGCCATACTGGCAGAGAGACTTCCAGGGAGGTGACAGACAATTTTCAGGCTTTGTCCTTGTGGAGAGAAGGGAGGTAAAATGAGGGGTGCCAAGGACTGGGCACCTTGTGGCTCAGGGACTGGGGGTAGGCAGGGTTGGGGAAGGGTCCTGCCCACGTGATTCAGGCCAGCACCACATGAGCCCAGCCAGCATGGGCCTGCCAAGGCCTGCTCCACGAGAACCAAACAGCATCACCTGCTCAATGCAAGCTCCCCCTCTATCCATCCCAGGCTTTACTAGGATGACAGAGTTATAATTACCCATGCCAGGAGCTATTATTAGAAGGCAAATGCAGCTTTAATGATTGTACTTAATAGAGGCTGAGAAATGGGAGGAACAAGTGGCTCCAGAACTTGTCAGGGCTGTGACAGTGTTTCTTGAAGCTACCGCTTCACGTCCCCCTCACATTCCAGAGATGTCCTTAATTGGTGGTGTGGCCATTGTTGTGCCTGCAGAAACCCCTAGTTATTCCGGGGTGAGTTACCAGATGTTTGGGGACCCTCCCGCCCAGGCTTCTCTTTCCCCACTGCTGTCCTTTGATTTCCTGGTACTGCCCGCTGGGTGGGGACCAGGGGACAAAGGGGCTGCCCAGCTGTGGGGCCGGGTTCTCCGAGGCTGGCGAAAGGTTGGAGGGCAAAGAGGCCAATGCGTAGGCAGTTGACATCTGTAAAGATATGTTTAATCTGGGTGGGGACCAGGGGACAAAGGGGCTGCCCAGCTGTGGGGCCGGGTTCTCCGAGGCTGGGGAAAGGTTGGAGGGCAAAGAGGCCAATGCGTAGGCAGTTGACATCTGTAAAGATATGTTTAATACACGTCTTCAAACTCATATTTTTTCAGCACCAGGGAAGATGATAGGTGCTTCCCCGTAACACCATTTGTGGTATTATTATTCCTGTTTTTCAGATGAGGAAACTGAGCTCAGAGAGGACAACTAATGTACCTGAGGTCACATGGTGTAGAGAAAACAGCTAGGTCTATTGGACTCTAAATTCCATTTTCTCTCCATAATCTCATTGTTTCCACACTTTTTTTTTTTTTTTTTCGGCACTGGAAGCTTTTGTTCAAGTGAAATCTTGCCCAGAACCCCACAGATGGCACCTGTGATGCTCTGGTTGCCTCCAGCTCAGTCCCTGCTTCAGTCTCTGTGGTAGCTCCTGAGGCAGCTGCCCCTCGTTCTGGGGGTCTCAGGAAAAGAACTGGGCCTCAGCTGGGGTCTGCAGTGAAAACCCCAGGGCTTCTCTCCTGGTACCACCCAGGTAGTTGATCCTGCAGCGTCTGGGATGGGACAGAGGGTGTGGCTCTGACCAAAGCCCTCCAGTGGTGCTTCTCTGCCCAGTTGCCTTTCTCTCGTGTTGTGTGACCCTCAATGCCCCACATGGCTGCGGCAAGGGGAAAGCTATTTTGCAGCAACAGGAAGGAGGCGGGCCTGGCTCAATGCTCCTTTGCCAGCACAGCCAGGGCCAGGGCCTGTCTGTGAGGTGGAGGGGAGAACAGGCCACCGACAGGCGGGGGGGAGGGCACTTTTCCATCCTCTGCAGTGACGGTGGGAGGAGGGTGAGGAGGGGAAGGACTCTTTCTGGGCAGCTGGGCCTGAGTGAGACCCCCCTCCCCCCCTCCTGGGGACCGCTGCTGACTGCTGAGGGCACTCAGGCTACGTGGCAGTTAGAGAAAACTGGGCTGAGGCCTTCCCGGCCCGGGACCACAGGAGGATGAGCCAAGGCAGGCCACAGGCAGGCCTCCTGGGCTCCTGCCCCACCTCCACCCCCCACGCTGGGCTGGCCCCTCACACTAAGTGGCTTTTTTGAAGTGAAAGACAAGTTCTAATTACAAGTCTAGGCTGCTTTGCTATGACAGGGTCTCTTGGGCACTTAGCTCAGTCTCCTGGGAGGCGAGAGGAGGAAAGTGAAGGGAGAGGAGGAGCCTGGGGACTTGTGGTCACGATCATGTGCTGGGCCCTCATTCGTGGAGACCTTGCTATCTCCCTCCCCAGGAGAAGTTGCTGCTCCCTGCATGTGTTCTCTGGCCAGCGCCCACCCCAGCGGAGCAGAGGGAAGTAGGCGACCCCAGCCACAGTGTTTCTGCTCACATACAGGGAACAACACCGGTCCGCAGTGGGATCTGGGCGTTCCGAGCGTCAGTCCACAGGGGGTCCTGCTTTTCACAGCCCACACACCCCTGCTCTTTTGCTGGAGCTTCACTGGCAGGTGCCCTGTGGGTGGGGCATGTGTCCTTCTCACCTCCATTTTCAGGTGAGGAAACTGAGCCCAGGAGCAGTTCTGCTGACTGTCCCCACGTTACTAACGTAGGATCTTAGCATCTGGCCTGGACCTTCTTAGACCTGGGCTCTCTCCATTCTGCCGACCTGCAACCGTGACCCCCAAAACACCTTTGTGGAGGCTGGAGCAGCCACCATCCCTTCAAAGGTGAACCCCCTGGCTGTGACACTGTCACTTCTCTGTGGCTGTGGCAGGCCACTGTTTCCTTGCCTTGGAATCAAAAGGCCTCCCAGAATTCTGGGACTTATATTTAAGAAATCATAAATGAAAGGTTATTAATTGATGGTTCAGATGTAAAGATTGGAAGAAGATGGAAAAATATTCATGATATACTATTACAGGAAAGGGGAAGATACAGAATTGTGTTTAGGATATGATTAAAAATCACCCCCCCTCCCCAAAAGGCCTGACATATAGATAAGTTATGTGGAAGAAAATATCTGGATTGAAGTGACTCTGGGTGATTTTTTTCACTTTATTTTAGAATTTTTCTTTAATGAACATAATTCTAAACTAAACAAACAAAAATGAGAGAATTCTTTCAGAGTCCTGGTCATAATAGCTGCAGAGAGGTTGTGAACAAACAGCTGTGAAGAAATGAAGGCCTGCAAGTGAAATATCAGAAACCTCCCTCCTGTCCCTGGAAGCAGGCTGGTAGCAGGAGATTCCCAAAGGCCAGCTGCAGAGCATGTGATTGCTAAGTATCCGCCACCTGCATGGAGTACACCCCTCACATTCACCTGGGAAGGGTGTAGGTGCTAGTCTCTTTGTAACTGTTTAGCAAATAGGAACACTGAGGCTTGGAGAAGCTGGGTCACCAGCCAGTCAACAACAAGTGAGTGGTGAAGCTCATTGCTCCATGTCCACCTGATGGCTGGCAGGACCACAGGGCCTCCCACTGCCTTTCTAATGCTTGCCCGCCCATCCCCCATCCTTCCCCAGGCGTGGAGTTCGTGGTTCCCAGGACTGGGTTTTATTGCAAGCTGTGTGGGCTGTTCTATACCAGCGAGGAGATGGCGAAGATAAGCCACTGTCGCAGTGCTGTCCACTACAGGAACTTACAGGTAACCACAGGCCGGCTTTGTCCAGCACCCTGGAGGCTCCCCAGTGTCCACACACAGGCCGGGTATCTAGGGTCCCTGGCCTTGCATGCCTCTGATTCTTGCTCTCACCTTTAAGGCTTACTGCAGGCACAGGCTGCTCGCCACTCCCCAAGCACAGCGTGCTGTTTCTGCTTCTGTGAGTTTGTCTCCGTTTGCCATGTGGAAAGCTCGTGCTCTTCCCTTAGACCTGACTCCACCAGGCTGTTCCACATGGTGGCTGCCGCCCCTGTGCTCCCAGAGCATCTATCTCTACTTTAGTACTTAAAACATTCTATTTGGGTTGGTTTTTAAAATATCTGCCTTCCCCTCTGTACTCTGAGTAACTCAAGTTCACCTGGCCCATGGTGGGGGCCCTTCCCACAAGACCTGGATGTTCCAGATGCAGATATTTCTCTGTTTCTGTTCCGCTGTGCAGTTATCCCTGTTCACAAGAATATAAACCACTATTGTGTTCTATTTAAATGTTCATCCATACAGCAAATATTTATCACAGGCATGTTATGTACCAGATATTTTTCTAGGCACTGGGTATACTATGACCATGAGAAAAGCAGACAAAATTCCTGTCCTCATGGAGCTTCCATTCTAGTGTAGGAGACAAGAAATAAATAAATGTCACCTTTTAACAGTATATTAAAAAGTGACATATAAAAAAACTCTACCATTTTTCATCCAATCCAAGGTGCCATCATCTTGTAAGACAAACCACTATTTTTTATACAACCAAGGAAAAAAAGTTTGCAAATTAAACAGTGAGACTCCATTGTCTGTAAAATGCATTTTGACTTCAGAGATGTTAATTTGTGAATAAAAGGTATCTTAAAAATCAATGAAATATAGTATATGTTCTATAATGTATACCTAACTAATATATACTATGTTGGAATGTGGTTTCCATAATTCTGGGGTATAGGCTGGGTTTTAGCAACTCAACAGAAGATATGGTAAATCAGATGCCCAGAGGTTAAGTATCTCAAGGCACCTCCTGTTTTAACTACAAGGAATTAGGCTAGTTGTTTGACAAAGAAGGCCTTAACTTGTGAAGTCCTCATGGTGGCTGTGCCCAGGCATTAGTGTTACAGTTGAGTTGTTAAAGAGCGACAGGTCTGGTGGTTCTTAACCAGGGAAATGAATCTGAATCACCTGGAAAGTGTTTCCAAAGTAAATGTAACAGGTCAGATATTCAGTAGAATTGGGGGATAGGGGTGGGCAGGAATGTGCATTTCGAGAAAGTTCTCCAAGTGACTCAAATGTACACCCCTACTTAAGAGACTTTTGTATGGGCTGACTCTCTTGTTTTATAGCTGAGGAAACTGAAGCCCGGAGAAGCTATGTGATTTGTCCAAGACCACACAGGTAGTGGGTTACTGGGCCTAGGACTAGATCGCCTGATTCTTAATCACTTTCCTCTTTTTACTCTACTAAGCTGGTCTTGGAAACTGAGACCTGTAATGTCATGGCCTGGGTCACCATCTGCAGGGGACTATCATTGTCTGTGCCCAAATTCAGGTCATTTAAGCCTCTTCCCTCCAGAGAGCAGCTGCTCTGTGACTGAGGCACCCTGGGGCCTGGGGCCTGGGGTCCAGGTGCCGGCCTCTCCTGGGGCAGGGCCGTGAAGGCCTGACTTGGCCAGAGCTGGGGGTTCAGACGGGACTCCACAGAGCCAGCTGAGGGCAGTTGTCCAGCCTGGAGACGTATCATTCCCCTCCCCAACAAGATGAAATCTATAGAATGGCAGGGCTGGAAGGGATCTTGGTGATTATCTGGTCCTGATTTTCCCAAACCTTGGTCCTTGTACCAGCTGGCATATTTAAATTATTTGTTTATGTATTTATTATGGCTGGCCAGTAAGGGGATCCAAACTCTTGACCTTGGTGTTATAACATCTCTCTCTAACCAGCTGAGCTAACTGGCCAGCCAGCTGGCATTTTTTTAAAATGCAGCTTCCTGGATCTCACCCTACATACAACTGCTTACTCATTCTCTCTAGGGTTGGGCCTGAGAATCTGCATTTAAACAATCTTTCCAACAAGTTCTGATATCACGGTATAAGAACGTTTTATCTCATCCAGCATTTTCAGCAGGGTTCTGCAGCCCCTAAGGAGACCACACAACTCAAGGTCACCCAGGAAGTTAGGAAGAGTTCAGACTTTTGAGGACCTCTAATTCTAAATCATGTACATCACCTGCAGACATGGGCAAAGGCCCACATGCCAGCCAACTGCGGTTCAGGTTTACCTGGTGCACCTGTTGGGGAACTGAGAGCCTTTACCATAGGCTTCCCAGATTGAGTTTCTGTCAGTGGCTTTGACAGGATGCCTCTGTCCACACAGCTTCACCACCCCAAGTGGCATGTGTGAAAAGTGAAGAATTCAGACCCAAGAAGGAGGTGCTGGCTGACACCTAAGGCAGGCAGCTTATAAACTTAGCACCCACCAGGAGGCCTTGAGGTGGGAGTCAGGAATCGCTCTTCAAGGCAGGGAGCAGGTGGAAGGAGCCTCCGTTGTCTCTGAGCATCCAACCCCTGCTGTGCCTTCCTGCTGGTCATGGCTCTGCGAGAACTCACCCAGAGTGATCCGGAACAAAACAGGTGGAATCAACGCTAAATAGGAAAACTAGCTACCTGCTTGGCTCTGGTCCTGGAGACGAACATGTCTTCAGTACACTCACCCACTTGCCTCCCTCAGCACACAGTGTCCCCTCCCTGAGCTGAGGCAGAACAGGAGCCAGGCCCTCTGTCAGCAGCCTCACTCACTCCACTGCTGGTCAGGCTGTACCCAACCCTGAAAGGCAGCCACAGTCTCTTCTGTGGAGAACGCAGGTAGACCCAGCCATCTCATGCACATCCTGTCCTCTGGCCGGGGGAGGGCAGAAGAAGACACTGTTTCTCCCACTGAACAGAACAGGAGCCTGAGGCTGGGGGAAGATGAGTGACTTCCCCAAATCATGTGGCTGGAACCACTAAGAAAGGCCCACATCACTGAGTGTTCATCTGTGCCAGGCACTGTGCCACGTGTTTTGTGTCACCTCTCTTCAACTTCACAGCAACCTTACGTGGTAGATACCATTACTACCCTCACGTTACAGATGTCAGAGATATTTGGTGACTTTCCTGCTTTGAGCCAGGATTTGGACCCAGGTCATCTGATGGCAGAGTCCACACTGTGTTGGACCTAACCCTTCCAACTCCTAATCCAGTGCTCTTTGCACTGTTCTTGCTGCCCCAACATAGTCTGAGGACCCCAGACTTAGTTCCTGTCTCACCATGTTGACTCCAGACATCCCAAGAGCAGCCAACCTGTCTTGCTGTGTTTGGCAGGGGGCCAGTCATAGCTGTGAATGTTCAAGGGCCATGTGGAGGGAGCCCCCAACTGTAAGACAGGCCCATTTTTAAATCCATCCGAGGACTGCGAGGACTCTCCACCTGCTAGCCTGCCTTGACAGGAAACAGGTTGTGGAGAGTCTCAGATGTCAGGCTGTGGTTTCTGTCTTGCACAATTGCTATAGGCCAGTGCCTGTCTTCTCCCCCAGCCTTTTACACGTGGACATGCTGCCTGGAGACTGGGCTCTTTCTAGAAAACCGGTCTATAGAATTGTTGTGAGGATTAAATGAGTTTATAAAAGTCAAGCAGTTAGAATAGCACTTGGCACAGGATAAGGGCTATGGAGGTGATCGCTACTGTTACTATACTTTCTACTTTTTCTACAAGAGATGCATATGACATGTAAACTAGCAGAACGAGGGGCTTAGCATGAGTCCGTATCCCCAGGAGGATCTGGGGACTGGGGAGAGGTGGCCCACCCAGTAAGCACAGACGATAGGAGCGGTGCCAAGGTGCACACCCACCTCTCCCGCCAGGTCATTGCTGACATGTCCCTTCCTCTGTTTCCCCTCTCTTCCTACCACAGAAGTACTTATCCCAGTTGGCTGAAGAGGGCCTGAAGGAGACCGAGGGGACAGGCAGCCCGAGGCCCGAGGACAGCGGAATTGTGCCACACTTGGAAAGGAAAAGGCTGTGACGCTTCTGCTGCTGCTGGAAGGTGGGAGAGGCGCCGGGACACGACTAGAGCCCAAGAGGAAGGAAAGCCAGGCAGAGCACGTCACTTGGGTTTGTTCCCAGAGACTCATTAAAATGCCCGCAGGTGTCTCCAGGAGCCAAGTCACCCTGGCGTGTCCAGCCCACTGAAGGTCACCAGCTCTCTCCCTGTTGACTTTTTTTTTTAACTGAAGCATAATTGAGGATACATATTTTGGGGGTACAGTGTTGGCTACTATCATCTGTGTACAACATGTGATGATCAAATCAATACCTGTTCACTCTTGTTTCCCTCAAACAGTCTTTCAATTTGCTTCCTTCTCTTCCTCTCGCTCCCTCCTTCTGTGCCAAGGATCGTTTTCTTTTCATAAAATCCAACTACTCAGGGATTTTCGCAGTGTTTAAATTCTTGATAGGGTATAACAGGTCAGGCCAGGCTGAGTCATGCAAGACAAAGGTTTAACGGAAACTCCTGGGTCAGGAGAACCACTTCGGTGCATCTGCAGCAGTTTCTCTGCCTGGCAGAGAACTTCTGCCTCAGTTGGCAGAAGCTGGAAGCAGCTTCATTAACCTCTTCCTCCTGCTGGACCACCTTTTTGAAAAGCTCCTGTTTTTAAATAATTCTTTCATCCTTTCAATTATTCTAGAAGTTTGCCAGATTTGTGCCTTAAAGTAAAATTAAATGAATTTTATGGAGGAAGAAAAGAGCCTTTCTTTTGGAAGCTCTGTCTGATAAGTTCCCTCTAAACTTATTTCCTTCCTCTTGATTCCAGGAGATGTCAGAATCTGTTCCATTCTGAATGGTGATTTGGTATAGATTCACTTTAACTAAAAATGAAAACAGAAGCATCTTCTCCCTCCACATAAAACAGCAGTTGGTGTAGGTTTACGTCGAATGCTGGCGTCTCGGCAATGTGTGGCGTTGGCTCGGGGGCCACAGTCACAGGGAAACAGCATCTGTCCCTGAATCACCCTTGGTGCCTGCACTCAGGGGTCCAACAACCTCACAGTGGGACAGTTTTAACATGTCCCTCATTGAGGGGAGAAGCAAAGGAAAGAGAAGGCTGCAGGGCTGGAGAGTGGCATTTGAGGTTTGCTGGTGTTTGTAGGTGGGCCCTTTCCAACTGGGTAGAGGGTCGAGGGTCCCTCAGGGTGGACCGCATGTGCAGACTTTGATGTCAAAAGGTTATGATGAACAGAGTCCTTATTCCCAACATTCCTTCTGATACTGGAGGTCAGTGCCTCAGGCCCCAGACAGGCTGAGGGATTTCTAGTCTGATATTCCATTGGAAGGGTTTGGGATGAAGGGGCTGGCTGAGGGAAATAAGGCTTTGCCACAGCCATAGGGCAGACCCCAGGAAGGTCAGAAGGGAGCCTGGTGCTGTTTTCCTGAGCTGAAATATTCCCCCATAGGCGCCCTCCCTGGCTTAGCCTGTGAAAGATAAAACAAGGAAGACAGTCATTCTCCTTGGTGTGGTTCTGAACGTTGTTTCTTTTCCTGACCGCAGACAGGTTAACTGGGAAGAGGTTGTGTGTATGTTTTGATTTGTTTTGTTTTCCTTTTTTCTTTTTATAGTAGGTAACAGTACACTGCACATTCTGTCTTCTGCACTAATGGAAGAAGAGTGGAGAGATTATCTAGTTCAACACTGATATTTTATCAATGAGGAAACGGAGGCACAGAGAGGAAACAAATGTAGAATGTAACATGATCGTGTGTAAGCCTTAAGGCATGTAGTCACTGGCAAGGAAAAAACTGTTGGGAACCTGTGACAGGGAAGAGTTAAAGCAAGTACCAGGGGAAAACAGACCAGTTCGGACAGGCGTGGTAAGGAGAGGTTGGTAGAAGCTTGAAACCTGAACTCATCATCAGGCTGTTAAATAAAAATTGATAGGAGGCCATTGGTTTGGTCTGAGCTCCTGCACCAGGCCCGGCAGACCAAACCTCCATGGAGTCACTCCTGCTGAAGTTTCACATCACTAAACCGAAACTAAGTTGTCTGTTTGACTTTCCAAGAAATCAGTAAAGTGAGAGATAACGGCCAAATCCCCAAACAGGCCAGTTTTAGCTGGCATGATAAGCAAGTCCCCTCTGCTTTAACCCACAAGGAAAGTAACTTTGAAATGACCAATCCACTTTTTCTGTTTCTGCTTTCCTCAGTCCTGTTCTGTCTATAAGGCCAACCTCCTCTGCTGAGCTGATCAGGACACTCAATTCTATTTTATAGAATGAAGTGTTGCCCCATTCTAGAATCGCAAATAACAGCCAATTAAGATCTTTAAATCTGTTGTAATTTTGTCTTCTGACAAGGCCATGTGGGGGCCTCAGAAAAGTTGGTATCTAAAATGGAATAGAGTCTGAAGATTGTAGCTGAGCACAAGCCGTTCCCCTGGCTAACTCCAGGGGGTTTAACTGGCATTCTGGACACCAGCTATGCCTCCTCCATTTCTCAGAAAACCTTTGACCCTGTGTGTCTATCTTCCCACTGGCGAGAAGTCTGGGGGCAGCTCTTTGGCTTCCTTGCTGCACCTTGCTGGGAAAAGCCAGCATCCTCCATCAGAGGAACTGTGCATTATCAGAGAGGCTGGAGGCTTTATCCCCCAGCGAAGTGGGAGCAGAACTCACCAGCACATCCTCCCCCCAACTCCAGCAGTGTTTCCATGGAAATCCTGAGTAATGCAATGGCTCCCTTGCTGGCAGACTGACCTTCATACTGGAAAGCTGGAGACAGCCCAAGGGAGGGAGAGAGAAGAGGCTCTCCTACATTCAATTAGAACCTTCAGACTAAAACCACCTAAGATTATATCTTTGTGTGTGTGTATATAAATATATATATTTATTTTATTTATTTTTATACAATTCCATTGGCATGGTCCTTCACCAACTCCATAATTTGCACTTTTTATTCCTATGTGTGTCACACACAATGCAGTATTAAAGACAACCAGGAAAATATTGTTTTATTTTTTAAAGCCGTTCTTTAGTGTTTTGTCAACCATTTCAAAGTGTCTCTGTGAAAAGGTTGCTTAAGAGCAGTTGCTACCTTGAGCAACAGCTTCATTTTTACCTTGGGTTTAATATGCCAAAAGGCCTGTATAATTTTCTTTTTATTAACACCTGAAATAAAGTACATCCAGAACTATTTTCAAAGAATTTGGTGAATCTGATGTTGGTGTGAGCAGCAGCCATTAGGATCACTGTCTCCCATTCTTGGATAGTCTGAGGCTGCGATCTGTGAGATTATACTTGAACTGGACCAGAGTTTGTTTTTTGAGTTTATGAGAAAAACAAAAACACTAGTTACTTTAAGTTTGAACTTGTAAAGTATTGGAATTTGTTGAGTGTCCTATAAATTGTCACCACTTTTTCTGATCTGTATAACTGACCGCAAAGTGTTTGTTTTTACAAAAGGAAAAAAGATTTTTAATAAAGAGAATTTGGAAGCTTGTGAGTGAGTGGCTGTGTCTTGTGCAGGGATACCTCGACACTTGTCTGGGGGAAGCTCACTGAGTGCAAAGGTTGGGATTTGGTCTCTGAATCTCAAATGTTGTAAAAGGTTGAACAGAGAGGACAAAATAGTTTCTGCTTAGGGCTCTGGTAAGACCACCAGAAAGAATCAGAGATTCTCAGGGGGGACCCTCCAGAAGGATGAGTCTGACGAAGTAGGTGGCCTCTTATAAACTCCTGGCTTTGCTACCCAGGACTCCCTGGTCTTCTAGTGACCCATAGTCCTGCACTAGGGTCAGCCATTTCTATTGGTTCCATCTCCTGCGAAGATGAAGATCAGGTGGTCAGTGCTGTGGTGGACATAGCAGGCCCAAGCAAAGGGCTGGCTCTACCTTTGTTAGCATTGTGCCCTCCTAAGGCCCACTTCCTTGGGCCTAAAAGGAGATTATGATGTGAATTACCTCCCAAGGTTGTTTCGGAGTTAAGAACAGTGCTGGTGAAAGCACTTGGTTTGCCACAAGGCATCAAATCTTGTTTGTTTTTGCAATCTGTGCTCTGGACAGCAACCCTCCAAATTTCAGGGGTTCTTAAGTTCTTTCTCAACTATTCCAGCAAAACAATGCTAGTCTCCTGGGCGCAGTTGGCCAGTCCTTTGAATGGCCTGGAACTTTCTATGGGCCCTTCCGTTTGTTGTCTCCTGAGTCAATGGGGAGGGGCAGCCTGGGCCCAGAGGGCAAGCAAGGTGAGTGGGGCTGCCTGTAATTACTGGGAGCTGATTGCCGATCTGAGGAAAGTTTCTGTCCAGCCTGTTGCTGCTGCCCCCACCTCAGCCCCACCCATGGGGCCATCCTTGGGCTGAGCTCAGGCCTCCAGTTCCCAAACAAGAGGGGTGGGGAAACATCCTTCTCTGCAATAGCTGTCTGTGCCACAGCTGGCCAAAGCAGTGAATGGGCCTGGAGCTCATGCTGCTGCCCTAAGTTCGGGATCCAGGATGCTTGGGGGTGTCCCTGGTGCCTTGCCCCAGCATGTTGCTCTATGTGTCACAAATCTAGGGAGCACTGTCCACATTGTATGCTATAAGATGACACCTGCTGGAGCTGTGCAATGCAGACACCCTACTGGGGACCCCCCTCATGCCTGGGGGGCTGGGCCTCTGACGCTCAGACTCACTTTCTGTCTGTGCCCTCATCTCTCTCAGACTGCCCCTGCCTGACTCTGCCGCAGCCCGGACACCAGGGTTGTTCCTCATAGTGCCCCGCTTGGGCAGGCCACTTAGATACCAATCTTGTCCTCTGTCTAGCCTGAGACCTCTGTGCCCCTTTGAATATCATTAGCAACTGTTGACTGTCCACCTAGGCAGAGGTGGGACATCTGGACTCACCCCTGACAGTTCCCCATTCTCTTGCCACCATCGTGGCCCTACAAAGGTGCCTGTCCCAAGTGGAATTCTAAGCATGTTAGAGCAGGATGGCTGGCCCCAGAGACCCCCAAGTCTTTGTCCTTTCTTTTGTAGGTGAGAAAACAGGCCCAGAGAAGGGAAGTGACTTGCCTAAGGCAACATGGCTTATTAGTGTAGGGCCAAGACTAGAATCTAGATCTCTTGGGTAGTCCTGCTGGGCCACATGGGGAGTTTAGGCTATTTCCATTAGATTATTTCATGAATTTTCTAGGTCTAGCCCTAGCTGGG